TTTTCCGCAACAGCTCTCGTTGGTTTGGTACACGTTTTCTAATCGATGTCGTCCTCGATTTGGTTCCTGTTCTCGATTCCATGTTACCGACCACAAACAAACGCACGCATTTTTACGTTACATACCTAGTGTGGACATTCCTTTGTTTTCGTGTAAATAAGAAAAAAAAACCTGCAAAAAAAATCATTTTACTCACACTGTGAAAACAGTTTCCACCATTTTTTTTCCGTGATGATTTTTCAAGTGTTTCTCTTCATTTTGCCTTGGATAAACCTAACCCCAAAATGCCTCTAAACCTGTTTTCCAGAGAGGGGGAAACATTGTGTGGACGTGGGCAAGTCCACACAACGTCGCGTCGCTGCTACCTGGTTTATGTGGACCTCTTTTGTTCGGAAGTCCACACAGTGAATGTAACGCTTGTACAAGGTTTCTCCTCTTTGGAAAAGTTGTAGAAGCATTTTGGGTTAAGGTTATCCGTCGCAAAATGAACTTGTCTTCACCTGTCACCTGGCCTCCGTAAAATCAAAAGGGGGGGGGGGGGGACTAGACACTATCTTTCCACGGGGCGTTTTTTCAAAGCGGACACAAGCGGACAAAAGGTGGCGCTCTTAACAAAGGGGCACTCGTGAAAAAAAGCCGTTCGTGAAAAAGTGAATTTCCGGGGACGTGCAAAAAAAAATGGGGGGGGGGGGCTCTTGGGGACGGGGCGTCTGGGGGCGATGCCCCCTCTCTTTTTATTAAAATTGTAATTATGTGTTGGCTAATCCAGGCTAAATCAATTTGGAGCAACTGACAACACTTTTACAGGGCCCTATTATGTACTACAATGTATCTTTTGCTAAGAAAATATAGGTTAAAGTGGTCAGAAATTGCCTCAGATCGCACCACAGAGCCCTCAGGCCCCGAACCCCACGCCTTTAGCTTAGAATTTAATAGCTTATTCAATGACTTCAACCTCGAAAATGATTTTCAAATTATTATCTTTTGCTGGGGAAATATTGGTTAAAGTGGTCAGAAATTGCCTCAGATCGCACCACAGAGCATCTAGAATCAATTTTTTTCGGGGCCCTTAATTAAGCGGGCTCCGAACCCCACGCCTTTAGCTGAGAATATAATAGCTTATTCAATGACTTCAACCTCGAAAATGATGTTTAAATCATTATCTTTTGCTCAAAAAATATTGGTTAAAGTGGTCAGAAATTGCCTCAGATCACACCACATGAACATCTAGAATCCGATTTTTTTTCCGGGCCCTTAAGCGGGCCCCGAACCCCACGCTGTAAGGGCTTCGCACTTCGCGCATGCATTATTTCTGATCAAGGTATGTCCCCCCCCCCCACTTTTGAGAAGCGATTGATGCCCCTGTTATAAACATAACATTTGTAAATCGTATTGTTGTAATTTTTCCGACAGCCAGTTCCATGAAGACGTTTAGTTTTAAACCATCGCATGTCGTTTGGATGTGCTTAAATCGTTTTAAAATGAATCGACGAACAAAAATGCTTTGACGAACATTTGTAACTATTGTTTTCTTTTCTGGAATGTTACAAATATACAAGTTGAGGGTGAGGAACTTCGCTACTTTTTTTCTAGAAAAAAAAACATTTACAATTTCATTTTTCGCTCTCCCACCTCCCACCAAAAAAACCTTCGATCCAGGCATTGTTATCAAATAAATAAGTGCAGTTATCAATAACTACACCACACCCTGCATGCTTGAGGATGGGTGGGGAAGTACCCCTTCCATTCTCCCTCGAGATTTTGCTCTTTTTTCAAATATGAATTTTGGTGATGATCGTTATAACTGCAGTCCGATGTAAAATAAATGTTGATCCCAATGTGTTTCTGTTGCCAGCTGACTGTATACATGGACTTTTTGATTTCAGTATATTGTTCCTGGTGAAAACCCACTTCCCTCCCCTTCAGTACCTGGATAGCTCCTGGTGCGTCTCAGCCATCGTCTTCGTCTCCCTGACGATGCTGATCTTCGCAATCGGCTAGAAGTTTCCTGCACTCGCCCCACCAGCCTGACTTCCTTTCACATTCAATACCGCGCCTGAATGACTCCCTTGCTCTTCTGTGCTGGCCGAGTAAGCACAGACATCGCCCGCGGACATTGTGGAGTTGGTCCTGTTCGTTGCCTCTCTGACAGTTCTCTGACATGAAGCAGTTGTGCAGAGCCTTGATGAGAAAATCCCGTCTTGTTACTGAGTCGACGGTGATCTTAGCCATTTGTAGGTACACATCAGCGAGCCTCGCATAATCCAATTGCGATTCGTGCTTCGGAAGGATGTGCTCCAAGTCGTCTTTGGCTTGAGCAAGGTATCTCCGAATGGCAGCATTTGCACTGACGGCACGTTTGTATTGCTCGAGGCAAAGTTCGGCCCTGCTTGAGTACGCGAAGAAATTCTCTTTGGTGCTTGGTAGAAGGATGGACTCCCCGTATAGCATCAGAGCTTCTTCCACATCACCAGCTTGGCTACGAAAAAGAGCAAGATAATTGAGAACCTGCGGGGAATCTGGTGCTATGTCCCTCGCCTTGCGCACGCATCGTTCTGGGTCATCGATACATTCCGCCAAAGATTCCGATACGTCTCCTATCTGCACATTCCATTTCGATGCCAAGTGAAAGATTACACCAATACGAACCCAGGCCGAGCTTTTCATGTTGACATCCGTAGATGGATGTTCCGCTATGGTCCAAAAGCTCCGGACAGCATCATCCAAAGCTTGATAGGCCTGGTCGTGTGTCTCACTTGTCTTCATTGTTTTCTTTAACATCTCGTAGCTGGCTTCTCCAGCCAGGTACTTCCAATCATTTCTCTCGTCTAGATCGACGAGGTGACCCGCCAGCTTCATCGCCTGATTGCAAAGCTCGAGCGCTCTGGTGGATCGCCCGTAATCGATAGCATCGTTGTTCTTTTCGTCAATGAGGGCAAAGGCTTGTTCGGCGTATCTCCTGGCTTGTGCACTCTTCCCTTCTTCTGTAGATAAATCAGGCTCGTCAGGGGCAGCCGTAGGAATTCCACCTCTGGACGCAGACATCACAAAATGACGGTTGGCCATGGCGTTCAGGTTGTCTGGGTCTTCTCCCGGAGAGAGGATGTGATTGAAGTAATCCAAGGCGCCTTGATGGTCGTTTTGTTGCCTGTAAGCGAGCACGCCTAGAAGGTTACGAATGGCGTGACGTTCCGCTTTATTCTTTTTCTCCTCCAAGTAGGCGAAGAGATGACCACGTTTGAAGTCGGCGGTAATATCAGTGAGACGACTTCGGTTACAAAGCAAAGACAGATGGAAATGTCCAACAGGCGTAGCCAAAGTGCGCCGCGATGCCCTGAGAAAATAGATTATAAAAATCAATATCTGAATTCTGTCTTAGTTTGAGACTTCGGTTATACCTCAAGTCAATACAAACGTTATTAACGGAATTGAAATACTTCATTTCGAATTTAAATACACCCAGTGGCTCAATCTGACTATCTAGGCCATTGGATGAACACAGTTTGATATTCATATTGTTCGATGAAACTTACAAACCAAGGTTTCATTAAAACACCAAATACATGTATTTCATTACAAACATTAACGCCGAATTGCGAGCTTCATTGCCGGTTAAAACGATTTCTCACACTTACATGTTTGTGTTTATTCAAGGAAGTATGTGTTCGCTCATCCAGGCCACAACAAGGTGGAGCAACTGACAACACACTGCATCCGTTAGAGCTTATAATGACAAGCAAGAAAACATGGGCTTTATATATATATATGTTTCCGGTTTCCGAGAATCCATAGGTTATTTCTCATTCGGATACGGGGCCTCCCCATCATTGATTTCATCATACCATTGAGGAAGGAATTAACGTTAATTCCTTCCTCCATGATCATACTCTGCTCGTTGAAAATGTGTCAATATTTATAAAACCAGACGTTGGCTTGTCCAGCAATCATACGACATTTCTCATTCGAAAACGGGGCTTCCCATCATTGATTTCATCATACTCTGCTCGTTGAAAATGTGTCAATATTTATAAAACCAGACGTTGGCTAGTCTGCCGTTGTCCAGCAACCATACGGAATTTAACGGGGCTTCCCGTCAAGCCACATGATGGCTGTGAACCAAGTTGAAATGTCTTTGGTTTGGAATCGCGGTGTAGCCAGAGTTCTCACCATAGAAAAGAGGGCTGAGCAATTTCTGAAGCATCGGTCCTAAAGATAGACAGGTGTTTTTTTTACCGGTCACCTCGGTAAAATCGAAAAGTAGGGGAATGGGCTGGACACCATCTTTCTACGGGGGCGCCCTTCAAAGCGGACACTAGCGGACAATACGTGGCGCTCTTCATGGCGGCACAATCTAAAAAAAATATTGAATTAAAAGGCCGCTCGTGAAACAGGACTGGCAAATTTTCAGGAGGCGGGGTTTGGGGGGGGGGAGCCACGTCCCCGGTTTTATCCAAGGAACTATAATTATGTATTCGCTCATCTAAACCAAATCAATGTGGAGCAACTAACAACACACTGCGTCTTGTACAGCTTATAATGCCAATCAAGGGAAATAGACGCCGTCTCTGTTGTCTCAGCAACCAGACAGTGCTCTCATTTGGGTACGGGGCTTCCCCTCATCTATTTTAACATTAATGTTGACATTGCTCTAATGCTCCGTATGATCTGACGGAAGCCACTGGCTGTGAGCTAAATTTGAATGTTTTTAATTTGGATCGGCCTGGCTCTCAGAAATCAACTTCAAATAAGAACAGACTAGGCCTACCCGTATGTAAGGAAACACGTTTCTCGTCCCTGCCCGCTTCCATTTACCGCCATCCTCCTTTTTTGTCTTTGAAACTAGTAATGCTTTTGAAAATTAAAATAATTATTATTAACTTTCTTTTAATCTGCAGGGTACTATATATAAACGTCTTTCCAAGAATTTTAGATTGCCTTTGTTTCCAGTCTTTATGACTTGATGCACTTATCTTCGTTGTTTTTTCTTCTTTTTGGTGGGTTATATGCAGGTAACTTCGGACTGGTCCACTAAACTCTTTGGATGTATGGAGGACGAACACACGTGTAAGCTAGCAGCTGCGTTTACATATCCCTCTAAAAAAGCATTAGTCAGATTTGACTAGAAACCAGTCAAATTTGACTAGCCATTCAGGGTCAGCTGGGTGCAACTGAAAATCAGTCAATCTGACTAGATTTTTTCCAGTCAGTATTATTGACTTTGAAAAAATAGTTGTGCAAATAACTAAAATTGGAGTAGAACCCAACTACTTTTCTAGTCATAGTATGAAACTTTGCTTGTTTAACTAAATCCCTAGTCAATTTCCAATAACTGGGAAAACCAGTCAATATTTTGACTAAGTTGTTCAACCAACCACTCAAATAATATCATGGATCGAGCTCCTTGCTAAAGGGGCATGACATAAAGTTTAGGATGGAACTTATTTTGTGCATATATCCATTTCCCCAAATTGTATAAAAATTATGAGACATCCTCTTTTTCGTTAATTATTTAGTAAAGTCCACTTTTTATAACATTTAAAACACCCCTGCTTTTTCTGACAACTGGGGGCGCTGTTTCCGTGATGCCACTTTAGGAACACACTTTTCAGATTACGAGGAGGAGGGGGGGTGTTAAAAATGTGAACCCGATTTTTTTGGTAACTGAAACATATTTGTGCATAACTTTTGTTCTTAGACTTTTTCATGTACTGATACAAAAATGTATCACCAAGGCCAAAAAATAAATACCATGGGAAAAAAGCTAAATTCTAGAAACTATTGATGCTGGAGTAGGTTTCTAAGTAGATATCTAAAAAGGATGGCACAAGCCTGTTTGTTTGAGCATGGTTGTGTTTCTAATGATTATTGTCGCGTTCTGCTCGTTTGTGTATAGTTTGAAGTGCCGAGTCAAAGTTACGTTTGGCCATTAACGCTGAGATCTTCAACATGATTTCCACATAATGTAATTATTTCCCCGGCACCCATCTTCTGATATATTTGATTAGGTTTACTGGGCGCGCTGTGCACACCGTGTTTGGCCTGTTCACTGGCCCGTCAGCTCGGGGAGTCCTGTTGTGTCGTGGCCTGTGTTCCGGGAGGAGTCTTTGCGCTGAGAACAAAGCTTCGGATGCAGCAAAACATTGAGGTCAGGAACTGTCAAGAAGTTTATTTTGTGTAGTTCCCCTAAAAAGAAAGAATTATGATGTAGAGCCATCACTGCTGATGAGGGATGGTATAAACATTGACTGCTTAACCCGTGGTGAAGTGTAGACTTTCCTTGTGATCCACGGAGCATTCTATTTTCGATTTTCCCTCGGCTCGCCTTGGCTAGATTGAAATGTAGAACCTCGGGAACAAGATATTGGAACTTTACTAATAGAACTTCCAGCTATAATGAAGGCAGGCCGCAGGTGCTCAATACATTACGGAAGACTGCTGATATAAGACAAGCTAGACAGCTCATTTAGTTGAGCACTGGTGAAGGTACCGTGTTGGGTTTAGAAAGCTGTTTTTTTGGTAATTTCTCAGTTAATTCCAACATTTTGTTTCTATATCCGATCCAGGGTTCAATCTGCGATGACTGCCTAACACTGAGCTGCTGTTGCCCATTTGCCCTGTGCCAAAAGGCCCGAGAGCTGGACAACGCAGAAATTGGACGATTATAGGATGAACTGAAACCAGTACGGCCACCTCGAGGGTCAACAGGCTGAACACAATGTGCATGACTTGGGCCAAAACTGAACCCAAACAACTCCACCACATTCTGAAATGATTTCTGAAAATAACACGCAGCACGGCAACAGCAAAGTCATACATCCAACAGATAGTGTTTTACAAGAAGATGATATAATTTCAGATATGTCAAACTAATACTATGCAAAGACTACATCAGTACTGTAGAACAATTCAGTCTGGTCAAATTTTTATTAGAAATGATAAAATTATTTTCCAAATTCCACAAAACAAAATCGATAAAAGCTGTAAGGTGTCAAAGGAAAACACTATGCCCTTTATAGACAAAATATCAAATCAGCTTTGAAAATGAGGGGTTTGTGATATTTTGTGTTGAGGATAACAAAGACATGAAGAAGAAGAAATATCAACCAACGTACCCTCTGCATGCTTGGCTGCCAATTTGAAATTTGTCTGTCGTACAGAGCACTCGATGAGATATTTTTTAAGCTTTCACTGATGCAAATACAAACCTTAAATTCGTTTGTTCAGCCCTGAAGACCTTTAGTGAATAATGGAATTTCAAATAAAGCATGTTTTCTGAAAGTCGGGAGTTTTCCATCAAATGGATTGATGCAATCTGTGTTATATATATGTTCATATTTCCCGACACAAATTATGTACATAGTCCAGTGAGCAATTTTATTACAAGCTAGAAACGTTTTCATTTTAAACGTATATATAATTTTTTTGTAAAGTAATCTGTGAAATTTTGTACAGCAAAAGTAAAAAAAAACCTCACATTTTATGATGCAAATTAAAACAAATAGCTCTTATACAAAGAGCAGTTTATATTATTGTAGTTCAATATAATGCAGTTTGGTAGTTTGTACATATTGCAAGAATGTATACATTCTATGACAGATTACTCTCAGTTATACTAATAATAACAAATAATAATAATAAAAGAACATTTGTAAAGCGCCGGTATCCGCCTAAAAAGGCGCTCATGGCGCTTGAGGAGAAAGTCCAGTTAGGATTGTGTTGTGAGAGTAAGCTTGTTTGTACAGGTGAGATTTTATGTTTGTCTTAAATGTTGTGATGGATGGAGATGATTTGATAGCCAGAAGGAGTTGGCTCCACACTCGGGCTGATGCTGCAGTAAAGGATATGTCACCCCAAAGAGTGGAGGTCCTGTGCTCGTGAAGCATATACACAATATTACTAGAAAATATGAATCCACAGTTAATTAAGAGTGTAGAGAACATAGTCTGGAAGACTTTGACATGAACATTTCTGTAAGAATCCTGAAGATTATGATTAAAAAAAATTGCCACCCATTCTGAAATGTTAATGGAAACACTTTTCCGATGATATATTTGAGAAAAATTGTAATGATAATACGAATCCACTGTAGTTATTGGATAATCTGAATCTGCACTTGAGAACAAAGAAAATAGAGTGGAAAGATCGAGTCTGACATTTTCATTTGAACACAAAACTTTTCTTTTTGTTTCTGGATAATATGTATTTACACATATATTAGACGTTTATACTTCGGCACTGTCAGCCCACAAATCAGCTGAATGTAAGTGATTTGAAATAGGGAAGGACACAAACTCCAGCGTTTGTTTCTTCTGTACTAAACTTGAAGTTTCTTTAAACTTTAAAGCACTGAAGGTTGGCCTACACACTGAGAAAGGAGAGAAATTGGCTTTCAATGTGCTACAGTTATTTTCATCAGCTGGCATGGAATGGGGGTAATAGTATCTGCTGTGATTGTTGGAAGCACACAAATATCAACACTGACTAGTGTCTATCAAAGTGGAACAAGGCCATTGTAAAATATTTTGTACACACAATATTTGACCTCACTGCACTCTAAAAAAGAAGTGTAAATTTATGTTGTGTAAAACTGTTGTGTAAAAAAATTGTGTCATTTCTGCTCAATATTGAGCAAAATGAAAATTTCGCTTGTACCTCCTACTTGTGTCAAATGTGTTACACATGAAAAGGTAAAATAATACCCAACATTGACTACAAGTCCAAGCAGCACAGGAAAAAAGTTAAAATCATGGTATTATTACCCAAGTGATGGGTTAAAGAAACTGAATTTACCCCACAACTGTGTAACAATTCTTTCATTGAACACGTCGAAGAGTAGAATTTACCACGACATTAGTAAAATGTTACCACGGTGCGGGGTAAACTGACGCACGTGACAACGTTTGCCCAATATTGTGCACGCGTATCACTCATGTACAAAATGGCCACCATTTGTGAGACCTTTAACAATTTGGGGATTTTGAAGACGTGATTTCTTTGTTCCAGGTAAGTCAGTGAAAAGAATTTTAGTGTTGTTTCCTCTAAATGCGATCCTGATGTATGAGGATTAATATCGGAGAGATTGGACAAGTGACATGCTTATTATTTAGACATGCAACTTGGACGTCACGGCTCTGCCATCCACGATTCCATGCACATGATGCATGCGTTTCATGCACCGTATAGTGAGTGTTCTCAGATCTAGAAACACGGAGTAAAGTGACCGACATTTGGGGCATTGTTTTTGAATGAGTTGATTGAGGGAAATTCTAACACCCCTGCCCATCATTTAGCCCACGTTCCTCGTAATAGTCCTCATGCATCAGCACCATATTTCGGGAAATATCATCTTATTCATTTTACTGACTTTCCAACCCAGGACTCAGTTATTGAAATCCCTCGCGATTGCTGTCTCTAGCATGCAATTCACTTTGCAGAGTTCAAAGTTGAATAAAACCGCAAGGGTCAATAACAAAGGTACACAACAACTAATTTAAAAACAACCCAAGTGATGGGTAAATTTAGAACCCAACAATGCAGGGTAAAAATTAGAACCCAATATCTGGGTAAGAAACTGACACAACACTTGGGTAAAAGGAGGGTTGGGTAAAGTTTACCCAATAATTGAGTAAAAAGGGAACATGGTCGTCACATGGGTAAACTTTCTTACCCAACTTTGTTGTGCAAACACGGAACACAATTATGGGTAAAAGTTACACTGAAATGGGTACTTTTCTACACTTTAGCTGTTGTGTAAAAAAAAGTACACAAGTTGACGACCATGTTCCCTTTTTACTCTCGAAAAGGTAGTAATTTTACCCAATATTGAGCAACTATTTTTTAGAGTGTGATACAAAGCAAGCTTTTAACAACAGTTTCCAGTTTTCCACATGCAATAACGATTTCCATATGTTATATTAAAGAAAAATACATTTGTTTGTAAATTTTTACTAAATTCATACGTATTAAATATAAAGTTAATAAAATAAAACGAGTGCTGAAAAAAAAAACAACTTGATAGTCCCAGTTGGTTGAAGGTTGTTTATTAAGCCGACAAACTAAAATAAAATGCAACAAAAATACACCCACTTGGCAAAAAAAGGCTCATTCATATGCAAATATTTACAAGTAAGTCCTGTGTTACAACTGTGGGGTAGTAACCAACGGATAATGTATCACCAACCGATAATGTCACGCAAATTAACCGATATTGTGTCGGTAAGGCCAAAAAAAAAAAGTCGGTCTCTGGTCAGCGCGCGCGTCGTTGGATGTGTGATGGTAATGGGTTGGGGCCTTGCCGGGGGTAATTTCTGCTAAACCCGTCACCATGACCACTTACAGGACTAACACATTTTTAATGGGGAGGGCACTAGAGGAGTGACGATTTTATGGGGGGTGGGGGTGGGGGAGGGGGGTACGCCTGCACCCACAATATTTTGGACTTATAGTTATTAGAAATGGGCGAGGAAAAAGGGGCAGAAGGCCAAGCGTCTTAGTAAGTAATGCTGAGTGGGCTAAGCACATTGTATCAGCCCCTACCTTTAAGTACTGTAATTAGATTCAACCACCATTGGTTCCCTTTAAAGTGCAGACAATAAGCATGGCATGTTTGTAAATGTTTGCTAATGTGTTCCAAGCAACCGAAGATATGTGTCAAGTGACAAGGTGTGGGCAGTGTTTATTCTCGGATGCAAACATTCAGGCATCAGATCAATAGTAAACAGCGCATGCGTGTTGCACAATCGAGTCTTTTGCCCTTTGCAACATTACATGCTATTACCCATTTTTCTGCTCCATAACACGAAAAAAGTGCATTATTAAATTAAAATCCAACGTGGTTTTCAGCAATAGTGTAAACCTTGAAATAGAATATTTATTAGGCCACGCAACTTTACGAAAATCTGCGGTTTTATGTTATAATCACGAGACGGAATTTAGGGTACAAAATGTTGGTGCTCGTCTTTATTCCAGTTACAGTTGTGTTTCTTTTCGACAGAATTTGGATGGTTTCATTCACTGCTGGAAACGCGTACTGCGAGGTAAACAATAAGTGCATCAAACGTCACATCCGATGTTAACAATACGGATTTATTTTCCTGACATATTTTCAATTTGTATTGGGGGGGGGGGGGGCGGAACTTCATTCCAATATCGGGCGTCTACAACCCTCTAAATGTCGTTCATTTTGCGCACAAATTAACAAATGAACCTGCACTACGAGAGCCAAATTGTCTGCAAATCGTTCGAATTTTGTTTAGAAATAAACTGAACAACTAACGTTGGTGGATTTTGGTTCGATGTGTCATGAAAGTGAAATTCGAATACATACAGCATGGGAAACGCATCTTTTATTTAAAACAGTATATTGGTTTCTAGTGACCAAAACCTTTGAAAATGAGTAAACAATGAAAAACTATAAATTTGGCACTCTCGAAAATAATAAACAGTAATCTGTACATAATAATAGGAAATCGTATACTAGGCAACGCCATGAAATTGGGCCCAATCATGCTAATGACACACAGTTTATAAGAAGCCATCGATTATTTTTTTTCTTATAGAAACACAATGTTTTTGTTTTTGTGCAACTCCTCTTAAAACTATATTTGACATCCCTTTTTGAATAATTTTATTGAAAAGTGCACTTCTTTAAACATTTAAAATTACCCATGCTTTTCCGGAAAACTGAGCGAATCACCAAGTAAAAGAAACTTCACGACAGAAAAAAATCCAAACTTCTAGCAAACGGCATCAATAAAGACCTTCCAAATGGCAAAACGAAAATTGAAAATGAGGTGAAATGGAACACAAAGGTACATTTTAAAGGAAAGCGTTAAACAAAATACACAGTTTGATGTTTTGATGGTTCCTAACTGAGTGTCTGTTTGCCTAGTCGTTTCCGCGATTATCATCCAATATATGGTAATCATTTCTTAGATATTGAGGAACAAAGCGACGTTATAACGTTATTTAAAACATTATTATTCTGAGCAACACATCATCGAAGAATGAAAAAACACACCTAAAATCTTATTTCTAAAACTAATATGTTGATAACGAAACATCACGGTGTCGCAAGAGGGAAAACGGTGAGCATACAGCTGAGAGTGTTTGCTTTGAATTGCCAGAGTATTATTTTTCTAACACTAGAATGTATATCTATATACAGTAAGAACAGCGGAAACAGTTTGTGTTTTCCACGCGATTATTTACAGTATGCACCGATGTGTGTGTTTGGGGCTATATACATGGAATCAAAGGAGAACACTTCCTAAAACAATTTCACGATATTTCTGTCGCAACCCGTACCCGAGGAAACTCCTCCCAATCGGTCTTCTTTCCGTGTGAAATATTCGTGTATGTTATGACAAGTACAGTCTT